AAAAAAAAAAAAAAAAAAAAAAAAAAGGACCACAGGACCGGGGCTGCTGGGTAAGCTCTGCCCAGAAGGAGCCATCATGATCATGAATTCATCTTCCAATTTCAGTTGCACCTGCCTAGCAAATGCTTGTGGGTATTTTTTTTAATAGATGCCAAGTAAATGTCTTTGGAAATGTAGAGTGCCATTATCTAACCAATTAGTACAAGTTAAATTGATTATAAAATCTGAAATAAAGTCAATCTACCTGCCCCAGAGGCCTCCTGTTGTTGTGCTGGCAAGGAATGCCACCCCGCACCTGCTGCCTTTCTGGGGCATAAGGAATGAAAATGATACCCAGTGTTAATACTGATTGGGACTGCACCCTCAAGAGATCTCTGCTCCGAGAGCAGAGAAGCCAGGACAAATCTCTAACACACAGGAAGTGAAGCCAAAAGTGAAAGGTCAAGTCCTGCCCCTGAATTAGGGCCTAGGTTTAAATGTCAGATCTGTGAAATAGAGGGCTTTGGATCTCTGTCACTTATTAACTGTGACCTTAGACTGTGAGCTCATTAGGGCTCACTTCCATCTGAGCTGGGATAATTATGCCTGTCCTATCATGAGTATTCAATAAAACCACAGATGGGAAGTGTTTTTCATATTATAAAGGTTGTACTGATCTAATAAGGATATCCTTTGGTGTCTGGGATCTATTTAAAAGTGCTTCAGCCAAACAAAGATAAGTCTCAATAAACATCCTAAACCTAACTATGCACCAGAATCACCTAGAAAGTTTGTTAAAACATCTCTGAGACTCTGACGCAGTAGACAACCTGCCATTTGTGATGAGGATCTCAGGATACCCTCATGTAGTTTGGTATCCAGGTATCATTTAGAAACCACTGGTCTAGACTAACCCACACTCAGAAGTTACTGTTCTGATCTTTCAGACCCAGCCTTAGACATGCTCATGACACAACCATCTCCTAAAACTACCTGTCGACAGTACTTGGGGAGATGATTAGAAGTGAGGCAAGGAAGGGGCAGGTGGCAAGTAACCTGATCTGAGCAAAAGAGCAGTAATGATGCAGGATCATCATCAGCCTTTGTTAGGCAATACAACACCCAAAAGAACAGCTTGAGAACAGAGGTCACACCGACTCCAACCCAACCAATAGATGGTACTCTTTGGAAGCTGGATTGTGACAATGTTCTCTTTTGACTTAAACCATCCAGATTCAGGCAAGCACCATTTCAGTAGTTGCAGCTAAAAACTGAAAAGGCTGTGCTACCATTTCATTTGACTTCATTTCTTTCACAAACAAGTTGAGGACTGGGCAGAAAGATCTCTAAGGGCTTTTCCAGCTCTGAGAATACACATACATGACTCATGCATGAGTAAGCCCAGGCAGGCCCAGACAACTTCCCATGCACTCTGTCATCCTCTGCATTGTGATTTGGGTAGCTACATTTAGACTTGAAATCATAAATGTAAAACAACGCTAAGGAAAGCAGAGTCTCCACCTCAGCGTCAGTTCATTCCTGTTTTATGGGATCATACATCTGAGCCTCTGAGCACAAAAAGCCTTAGCAAGCGGGCAACCCAGTTCCATTTCACCACACTGACTATAATCATCCTTTAACTTAGAGACAAAAGAGTAAGGTGCAGGCAAATGTGCCATCAGGTGCTAGGGACCAGCACATCAGAGCAAGAGAATTGAAAGAGAAAAATGAAATATTATTGTAGAGAACCTGATAGAAATATTTACAAAAGGCATAAAACAAATCCCACCTATTGGCTAAACCCTCAAATAAACATTTGTACCACAAATTAAACTATCTTCTAAAAACCACAGGGTCAAAACAAATCAGAACTGCCCAAAGTTAAGGCTCTGAAGTATACTCTGAACTCAAAGGGAAGAACCCTTGCTAGGAGCTAGGAGAGAGCCAGGCTGTGGTTCTTACTGACTAGATCACACCACTGTCTTGGGCCCTGGCTTCCTCCTCTTTAGAAGGATGGAGTTATACCAGCACCCTATAAGGTGCTTCCCAGAGTCTTCATTCAGTCAACACCCACTCTTTCTCCTCCTACTAACTGGTGAACTCCACGCACTGCCATCCTAGAGGCCCTTCTGCCTCATCTTCAGCACATGATTCGGCAGTGAACTGCCTCATGTTCGGTCCCTTGTCAGGTATTTCCAAATGCCACAGAGGAAATCCTCCCAACCACTTTCCCCATCTGCTCCTTTGCCATCCAAGCCCCCAAATCTTTCCATGAAATAACCATGGGTTCTTAGGTAATTAGGAGCCCAATGACTTTTGAAACTCTTTTGGCAGCCAGTGTTCTTCTGACCCTGAGACAATCCCTTCCTTTTCTCCACAGCCTATTTCTCAATTAAGAGAAGGATGTTAATTTATTGCCCAGGAAAAAAATCAGTGTGGCCTCCTATTAATACCATTAGACCTAGGGGCTTGGTGGTAAATGCCCATAACTTTAGCACTCTGGAAGGCTGAAGCAGATGACCACAAGTTCAAAATATAGCTCATTGTGAAGGCCCTGGGTTCAATCCCCAGAATCATTAAAAAAACAAAAACCACTAGCCAAATAGCGTTGGTGCCTGGATTTTGTCCCACTTAAGTTGGGCCTTAAGTGGGTGTCAGATGCCTGGGCAGAATCACTTCCCACTCACAAGGTGGCTTTAGAAAACCATTTCCTCTAGGTTTGTGGTTCCTTGTAAAATGAAGATGTTTAGATCATTTCAGAAACCCCTCTGTCTCTTGTATGTGACTACCAGTGCTTTGGAGGAGGTAGGAATTAGTAAGAGCAAATGCCAGGGCATGTCTAAGACTCAGCCTTCAATCTTGAACTAATTACAAGCCCAGGAGGAGTGACTCCCAAGAGCTTTGGTAGCCCCCACAGCTGAAGCTTCCTCTTTATTTGCAAAATGCCCTGAAGGGCAGAGACTGGGCAGGGGTGGGGCTGTGAAAGAAGGAGGAAGTAAAAGCAGCTGGTTTTTCTTCCCCTCTCCCCGCCTTCCCTCCTTGCAGGCAGGTGTATGACTCAGCCAGACTACAGAGGACAGCCTGGGGTGGAGTTTGCCAGCTGGCCTTGCCCTTCCCTCCCCTTCCCAGCAGATGCAGTTCACTCGATTCAATGTCCTCTGCAGCCTCCAGGCCACCCAACACACTACAGATTTCTCCATCCTTGTCTCTGCCTCTAGCCCTTGTACAAAAGATACTTCTGAGTCCAATCCCTTCCTGCCAATCTCAATGTCTCTTACCCACTTAGGTGCCATCTACTGCTCCACAGCTAACAATTTGCAGTATTCCCCAAATCCTGAAAGCAGCCCCAACTTTCTGGTGAAAATGGGAAGAGGTGCTGGCTGAGGCACTTTTAGGCATTAAAGCTAGAGCCTCAATAAAAGCTGTTCCACTAGCAGAACTTAGGCATGGGATACCCACCAAAAGCCCAAAGCTGGGCCTCTTCTCAGTAGAGCATGGCCCAACAGTTACAGGTATCCTTTCTGAGGGTAGAGTGGAGCACCTGCATTTTGATACAAGGACCTGAGTTATAGGAGCAAGATGTCCTGATGGAGAAACATCTTGATTGGGTATCAAAGACCTGGGTTGAATTCTGAGTGGACCACTTACCAACATACTAACACCCCCTCCCCACAGTTTCAGTTTCCATACTTCTGAAGTCATAAAACATTCCTTCCACCCAGGCCCCTTCACGAATATAACAAGGTTCAAACGACCCAACTGGAATGAAGTCCAACATTAAGTACTACACAAAGTAAGCTACTTCTGTTCTCAAATTTTAGAAAATATGCAACCAAGCCAGTTGTGCTAGCCTTTCTTCAAGCAATACTCAGCATCTACACAAGAAGCCCTCAGCTATTTTGCCTTACTCCTTGCCTGACGAGTTCAGAGAACCCAAACTGGGACAGATGGGTCACCCTGGGTTTCTTCACCTTAACACCACTCCCAAGGTGCAGTTTTATGTGGCTAAGGCAGGTGAGCTAGAGCCTGCAGCTTCCCTTCAGTCCTTGCTGGAACTACCCAAACCTGCTCACTGCCAAGCAAGAATGCTTTCTCCTCCTGCTCTCTAGGGTCACAGGCTATCAGGGTCACAATCCAAGGCCAGACCAAAGCCAGCCTGCTTCTCTATTTGTGGGCTAAGCTCTAATGGAAAGTGCTCTGGTTCTAGACCTTGACCTGCTACTGATATGTAGGGTGACTCTGGGGAAGTCAATTCCATACTAAAGTGTCAATTTCCTCATTTCCTCATTAGCAATAATGGAGAGAGGGAAATAGTAACTACTGCTGTCTGTGTCACAGAGCATCGGGAAGCTTGAAGGAACCAAGGGGTTCAAGTACTTCTGTACAAGACTGAGCAAATGTCAACCTACTAAAACAGATTTCTACACTAACAAATTCCCTCCCAACCACTGAGCTGTTATGGGTGCTTCTGGTGGTATACAGCTCAGCTACTTCAGCCAACAAAGAACTGTTCTCAGTCCAAGGCGTGTCTCCTTACCCCTTGAGTTACATCACTTTTGCTTTAACACTTTCATTAATCTCACAAATTGGGGACAGAAGGTAAATGGAGGGAGGCACAATGCAAATTTGATGGTTCCAGTGAATTTCACTGTCACAGAAATGGAGAGCTGGCTATCCTCTTATATCCGCCCTGACTCTCAAGTCCCAAGACTCAGTGTTGCTAGACTGTCTGCCACAGCCGTACAGATGAGGGTGAGAGCAATCAGAGTCTGCCGCCACTTCCAGGGAGTCCTGCCTCCTTGGTACGATCTGTAGGCAGCAGCAGCTTCCTCAAAAGGAGAATGGACAAGTGTAGGGTCTTCCTCCAGGGCAGCTACAGTGACCTCGCTAGTATGTGGAAACATTTGCATCTTTTTGTAACCTGAAGTCTTGTGATGATGCAAGTGAGAAGTGGCCGGAGGCAGCACAAGTTCTAGCATCAGAGAACATGCTGAAACAGGGTTCAGTCAGCATTTATGACAACTGCAGAAAGCAACTGTGGAGGACACATTGTAAGCTAACTAGGAAACAGGAACATTTACAAGGCTAGATTAAGGCTCAAGTGCTTTTTACACCTTTATTAGCCTTCACTTTGCCCAACTCTAATCAGGAGCTCCTGTAAGGCAGGGATGCTGCTAGTTTGCCACCTAAACTTGCTAAAATTGCTGGCATCTGCACTAAAACACATGCCTGTTTCTGAGTTGAAATCAGAAGATACGCAGGCTGCTGTGCCTGGTGGCACACACCTGTAATAGGCTGAGCAGAGGTTCACAGGTTTGGAGGCCTGGGCTAGACAGTGTTGACCCCCCTCCCCCACCTCAAATAACAACAGAGGCCAAGGTGTCCGGAAGCATGGATTCTCGGCACTGCTATCTTCACTAGGTGTGAGACCTTAGCCAAATCACTTCAATCTCCCTGAGGCTGCACACCATAAAACACAAACTGTCATTTTCAAAAACTAAATATGAAAGCATGAGTACCTTGAATTAGAATCTACTAAAAACAAACATTTACCTATCATCCAAAAACACGTTTCTTTGGAAAAAGAACTCTGCCTGCCCGGAAAAGCACAACTTAATTAATAAATCTTCAGTTATCATAGGCTTTCCCTGTCCCAGGATACCAAAAACATATAAATTTGATGGCTATCTCTGGTATTTAAATGGAGACATATTCTTGTGTGTCTAAGAAATCTCTCTTGCCTTGCAGATTACATGAAAGAATCCGTGTGCAGCTCCAGTACTTGTTCCTTGAATAGCAGTGAAAACCCTTATGCCACAATTAAGGATCCACCCATCCTCACCTGCAAGCTTCCAGAGAGCAGCTACGTAGAAATGAAGTCGCCTGTGCACAGGGGGTCTCCGTATACAGATGTGCCATCCTTGTCGACATCTAATAAAAATATATATGAAGTTGGTAGGTGTCTCAAATAAAGTGAAATTAGGGTAAAGTACAGAAGCTCAAGTAAAAGCAAGCCCTCTCCACTCACCTTGTCTTGGCAGCACACCCTTCTTTGGTTGCTTTTTAAGGAATACAAGGTGAACTTTTTCCCAGAACTGCCCTACCCCCAATGCAGGAAATCAAATTCTTATGCCAGTTCTGCTTTAAAACACACACACAAAGCTGGGCGTGGTGGCGCACACCTGTAATCCCAGCACTCAGGAGGCTGAGGCAGGAGGATTGCTGTGAGTTCAAGACCAGCCTGGGCTACACAGTAAGTTCCAGGGCAGTTTGAACTACACAGTGAGACCCTGTCTCAAAAAGGAAAAATAAAACATACACACACACACACCCAGAACAAGAAGCAGAAATAGAGTGGGGAATGTTACATAAGTTTCAAATAATTGATAGAAATCTCAATTTAAAAAAGAAAACAGTACTCACTTTGGCTACACATACAATAAAAAAAAAAAAAATTGGAACAATACAGAGATTAGCATGGCCCCTGTGCAAGGGTGACACACAAATTCGTGAAGCATTCCATATTTTAAAAAAAAAGAAAGAAAAACCCAATCAGAACTGATACTTACACATTTGTGAATTGTCTTCTTCATAGTTTACACTGTACTCCTGGGCTCACTAGAAAGACTACTACTTCTATGATCCTCAATCACTTGGGGTTGACCAGAGGCCAGGATTTGGACAGTACATCCACTTAGGTTTTCCTTATCTTCAGCAAGCCTCCAACCAAACCCTCATTATCTGTCTAGATTTACAGACCCCAGCTCCTCTACCCACCAAGTTAAATAGAACTCCCTTCCCTCCCAAGAAGGCAACCAAAGCTAATCTGTTCTTTGAACTCATTTTTCACTATATTCCTTAGAGCCCACAGTCAATGTGGTCCAAGAAGGCCGCGGTCATAACTCCAGCTATATCCAGAATCCATACGCCATTCCTAGGAACAGCTATATTCCTGGTCATTATGACCTCCTCCCAGTAAGACAAACCCCTACCAACGGGCCCTCCCACGACAAGCAGTCGTAAGAGGGATAAGCTTCTCTCTTGCAGTGTGCTCTGCTGAACACTCTTGACTCTCTGAAGAGGATAATCCCTTGACTTAAAATGATACAGACTGGCTCCAGCTGCCTATTAGTTATTACATTCACCTGGAACTAAAGAAGAGCTTCCAAGTGGGACTCTGGTAACTGTTCAAAGAAGTCTGTACACAAAGGCAAATCCTACCACCCACCCATCCCCCAGGCCCAAATGTCCTGGATTATATGATTTCTAAAACATTTAAGATACCGCTACTCATCAACATCAGCTAAAATATATGTATTTAATATTCTGAAATATGATGCTTAAAAAGCACGTAGAATAGCAAACCTTCCTAGGAGACAAAAGGGCCTTGGGAGGGGAGTGGGTTATTTTAAAGCACCTGAAATGTATATGTACTTTTGGTTACTGTTACTATCGACATCTGTTTCACTGCTAATTAGTACACATACTTGAACTGTTCCAGCATCAGTCCTAAAGTACCTGTACCTATATGCCTGGCCCACTGAATTACAATGGCCAAGATTACAGAATTTAGTCTACCTAATGCTGACAAGCTCCATTTTTTAAATACAAGACTTTAATAAAAATCAACTTTTTCTCTTCTGCCTTGTGAGTGATAATAGGCCCAAAAAATGAAGAAAGAAAAAAGAAAGTTTCCAAACTGCAGTAGTCTCTTTCAGTCTAGACTGATATCTGGGTCAGCTTAACCAAATTTTGCCAATTCAAATCGCCAGAACAATGGAAGTTAGTCCTGATCTTAATCTATCTGACACCTGAGTCATTCCATGTGAAATAGGAAATAGGGCATGGAGATGATGCTTTATTAAGTAGTCATTACCTGGCTCTAAAACCATTTGGCCTCCCTAGTTTTAGTTGGGACCCCCTGACTGAGAAAATAGTTGCTATAAATCTTAAGTTTGATGTATTATGGAACCAAAAAGTATAAAGGAAGTGAGACAAATGTGGATACACCAAGTTTATGTTACCATCCCTTATGCTTTTTGATGGGAAATGACACTGATGATCATAGAGAGTGGACTGTAACCAGCTGCTGTCAATTGATATAAAGACTTCACAGCAAACAGCACAAAAGGATATGCAGTGCTTAAAACCACATTCCAAGATGGCCAAATATGTTTTCCAGATCCCAGTGTTCTGATGGCCTATATCTTCCATTACTAATGAACATATGTAAATGAGGCTTGGACGATGCCAAATGGAGCCAAGCCCTGCAGAGGACCTCTTCACAAGAATTAAAACGGCAAACCATGGAAGCGAACGGCCACATTGGTGCCACTGCATTCTGGTCATAGACCAGCCACTTAAAAACACTTCTAAAAAAGGTATAGAGAAGAGGAACTAAGTGACTGCAAAGCTGGAATACTGCTACGGGAAGTGTGAGAGTTCTGAAACCCTTGTTACAAATTGGAAGTCAGCCACAGAATCCATTAGTTTGGGCAACAGCAAAAGCAAGAACATTAATGAGGAAACCCCACTCCTCTATTTCACCCAAGGCATAAGCAAATTTTAGTGTTAAGAGGAAAATACACAATACTTACACGAATGCTGCATGTGTGCATGGGAGCGAGCGATCAACAAAGTAAACTGACTTTCAAAAAAAGCCTTATTAAAATATAAATAAATAATAGAAAATTACTTGTAGGCCCAAATAAATACTTCTCATATATATGTAGAAAGAACAGAGATAAGAGACTTACCTCAGTATTTCAGGGCCACAAGTGTTCATTTGTTTTTATGAAGCAAGGAGGAGCAAGCATGGCAAAGTCAGATCAGCAAAGAGAAACTTCATCTCAATCCGAGGTTTTATCTTCTTCTTTTACCCTGCATGCACAATAACTGCTACCTGGCCAGCTGCAAACAAGAAGCATCACTCGAATTTCAAGTCTCACCCATCTTCTGCCACCTACCCTTTGGGCAAAGGTATCCAGTAAGAGGTGAAATGGCTAGAACACCGAGTCAAGGGATTCTGGGGTTACTCTTAGCGAGTGACTGGCCCTCTTTGGGCTCCTTTATTCCCCTTGCCTAAAAAAAGGAAGCAGAAAGTGTGGAAGGGAGCTCCAACAACTCTTCAGCTCTAGCATTCCATGACTTTTTAAAGCAATGTAATACAACTCAAAGCAGACAATACAGAGAAGGGAAGGGCAAAGGATGTGAATGACCTATGGTGATAACAGCTGCCTTCACATATCTAAAGAGTTACTGGTAAAAGACAGTCAATCTTACAGAGCAACTGTGAGAAACTGCTGTCTAGCACTGTCAAAAACAAGTTCGAGGTCAGCTTACACATACATGTGCACTGTGTATTTTATTGGTGACTTGGAAAGATGTTTGATATTTTTCAGAAATTAACTTTTCAATCAAATTGATAGGCATACAATTCAGAAAATAAAGCAAGCAAATGCATAAGAGCATAAGAGACTATGAAAAGGCAATACTTTTTTTAAACTGCAGATTTGTAATATATTTGTTCACTGTGCAGAGGGATTGTACCTTGTACGAAATAAAATGAATTTCTCAAACTAACTGACCAAGAATGCTTACTGTTGCACTGCAAACTGAGAACATGTCTACCATCTACACTTCAGGGTTTTAGGTTTATTTTGTGTGGTCACTTTAAGCAGCTAGAAGAGAGAATTATGCCAATGTATGCTTGAAAATAATAGTGAAAAGGCTGTTTAACAAGGGAGTCTCTACCTTTAAAGTTGGGAATGGGACCAATATATTCTTATTCCTGTCAAATTTGCTTTCCCAAATATGTATACTCAAAAACAGCTATTACAGCTGTGCTTGGCTCCAGAGGCACTAGTTCAATGGTATGGAACAAGGGCAAATGCAAGGACTACCTAATCTATATAAATCCCACTACATGTTCCCATCTAGTGCAGTCACTCCAGGTGTATGTGTCCTAAGACCTTTTAAAACACAACCTTCTGACCTGACAGAAAAACAAGATTCATTTTGTAATAAAATACAGGAAAAAAAATGGCTTATTGGATGCATCCAATAAGTTTAAATTTGTCACTCGTGCTTTCAAAAGCATGTATGTAAATCTCTTATTTGGACCAAACCAAAACATTCCAGCCTGTTGGTCCTAAGACTTACATGACACTCAAAAGTTATCTCAATTTAGTACTATGTTTAACCAATAATAATACCATTTTGCTAATTATAAGAATCATTCAGGAGAGATTAACAGATAACTCTCAGGGACTGGGAATTTATTTACAAAAGACAAAACAATCACAAGTTATGAGACAAAAACTATTTACTCAGAATACTGTATTACGCAGTACCATAAATAATAACCAGAAGGCCAATAGCTGTGAGTGGTACACTTAATATAAGATGATTCAAGAATGATACATTCTATTAGTCATTCATCTGACCAGAGGGAAGACAGAAAGAAGAGCCCCATTTAATCAGTGTGGCAAGAGAGATGTAAAAATTCTTCTATGAGGAGTAAATGGGGGTTCGTTATACTGTTGTTTATACTTTTGTATATTTTATTACATATTTACAGAATTGTAATATATATGCAATTGTAGTGGTGCAAAATTTTTAATAAATTTACAAAACAAATGAGTAATTCTCAGACTATAGCTCCCCAAGCTATACCAGAATGAACCCCAGAATCAGACCCCTCTGTTCTATAGTCCTCCCTGTTTTTTTTTTATTGAGTTTATTGGTACAATCTAGGTATACAATACAGTTACATTATTGGGATCCTGTCTAACAGTTCTGACATAGGGTTGTAGGGGAACAATAATATTGGGAATGGAAATATGAACAAAGCATTTTCCCTGACCTGAGCATCTTAATGTGGGGACTGTAAAATGACAATGGTAAATAGAGGGCTCTGGTGATTAACGGAGCACTGCTTATGTATTTTCTCCCTGGAGTTGCAGAGCTCCACAGAGTAAGTGGTCCAATCCAAACCCATAGAAAGCAGAAGCCCTGGTCTACAGCTTGTGTGTCAGAGTTCCCTCATCTCACCTCTACCTCCTGCCGAGGTGGATCCCCCTTTAGAGCCTTAAGTACACAAACCCGAGATCTTACAAAGGTATTTCTATTTAGACATTCACTTTATGTAAACCCAAACTAGTTAACTCAGGACCCTTAAAAGCTCCTCCAGAGTTGGTTTAACGTCAAAGATAATCGACAGAAACAGTGTTGTGCCTGGGGGCTTCCCAGATGACATCAGACATGACATCAGGCATGTATGTTCTGTAAATTCTTGGGTCCATATGATGGAGGGCTGACACAGATGCCAGTCCAATGGTCTTCTTAAAGACTTGATGAGGGACCATACCACCTTCCTAGAGATAGCTGACAAAATGGTTCGCTGAAAGATGACAGTTGTGAGGAAGGCTATAGGGGCTAAAAACAGTACATTTATTCAGTGGGATGGGGGTAAGAGGATCTCAGATTTTGGTTTGAGGCAAGGTTAAATTCCACTGACTCAAACACAGGAAAGGATTGCTGTTGGATACTAATTTTCACTACCATGGCTGGTGCTACTAAGATTGGTTAACAGCCAATACACAGGATATTTTGCTTTTATCTGTGTCAAAAATTATCAACTGTGTTTAATAAATGTTCAAGAACTAATTCAAATAGTGCTTAAACTATTAATTAGCTTATATCAACTGCCCAAAAAATGGCACATCATGTGCATAAACACAATCTATACTCTTGGATTTAATCACTGGTTCTGTAGTTTGCGGGTTGACATACCTTCTTGTATATTTCTATTAAGGAGATCATCTTTTAAAAACTTAAACACAAAAATGTTTTTAAAGTTCAAAGTCAGAATTTTTTAAACAGCAGAAAACAAGCAGTTCTCAAGTTACAGCCGACACAGCAGCCCATCAAATGCTCCTCCCCCTTAGCATTTATGCGCGGCACACCAGAAAAACTGTTATTTTGCAAATGTTCTGAAAACTTTCCTGTTAATGACGTTAACAAAGAAATATTTTTGATAGGTCAAAAAACATTTTTCATGGTATATGCTTGATTTTTACTTATCCATTAAATTTAAATCAGAATGAGTTCAGAGCTGTGACTGGAACCTGTCTGTCACCCAGTCTAGTTCTATACGAAAACTACCACTGTCAGGCATGGTGGCACACACCTATAATCCCAGCACTTGAAAGGCTGAGGCAGGAGGATCATTGCAATTTTGAGGCCAGCCTGTGGTACAATGACTTCAAGACTAGCCTGAACTACACAGTGAGACAGTCTCAAAAAACCAAAATAAATAAATCTACAACTTTCAATGTTTAAGCCAAATAGGTTAGCATGTTTTCTAATATATGTATCGAATGTATATATTATGCAAATATATTTCAAATATTCTGTTCTTCACCTCAATTTCCAAGAAAATGGATACTCTTATCTAATTATCTCCTTACATACAACATGTAATAATATTAGCATGTTGTATCGTTTAGCATACAGCCTCCTGCAGTTTTGGAAGAACACAGCCATTGTTTAAAACATCAGAATGACAACTCCAGTTTCTCTGGCACACTGTACAGGTGAACAGGTTAAGTGGACCTGCCTAATCCTAGAAAGCACGGGTACTGCCCAACCAGCAAAGAAAACAGCGCTCTCCTCTCTAGCATGAGTATCACAGCTCCTTGTGCTATTAACCCAGTAAGTGACATGGTAGAAGAGGGTCTTTTCAGTCTGTGATCATTGATTTTAAAAGTACAACAAATGGTGGTCATATACGATTCTAAAAATAATTCACATTTTGTTTTGAATTTTTTTCAGGCTTATGATACGTGTAAGCCATGAGATAATCAGTTTCTATTTTCCTGTTAAAATAATTTAAAAATTTAAAGATCCATTAACAGGTTGGATTAAATTCTTAATTATCCCCTCAAGCCTTTGGGTTCTTATGTGTGGGTGTGTGGGGGTGCTGGCCAAAAATGTCTAAAAATAGTACAGCTTTTTTCTTTTAAGGTAGATGAAAGAGATTGTCACAATAGTTTAAACCACTGAAAGTGTTTGTTTTGTAAGTCAGCAAAGACAAAAATTAAGACATTCATTTTCCCAACAACAAAAGAAATAAAATTAGCTCTGCTGTGCCCACTCTTAAAAAAAATCTAACTTTTCTGTAGAACCCTTCCGAAATGAAAGATCTCGGGCAAGACACTGGCTGCCACCTCTTCTCACAATTAAGCACACTCAATGAAATGTCTAACGATTACTTACCCTTACATAGTGACTATTATTAGAGATAAATCAGAGAGCCCTTGAGAGCAATGACATGTAAGTTTAAATCTAGGTACAATGGCTAAATGACTTTTTCAAGGCAATATAACAGGTGAAGAGAATGTTCAATGTTGTGATAACTGAAAAGCAGGATCAAGCAGCAAAATACTAAAAACCTTACTTTCAGTTTCAAATAAAACAGAGATGGTGACTGCCTGTGTCAGGTAATACTGTTACATATGGAAGAAGAGAGACTATTTCCCCAATATTTGTTATTACTTCTCCCAAGAGAAACATAATTGAACTGCAGGTCTAACATCACACCTGAATTCACAAACTTATGCTCCAATTCAATGTTGACTTGATAATGCAAGCACCTATGTGCTCATTAATAAGAATCAAATATTCCAGGGCTGCATCCAAAGCACTCCAAAGAAAAATGTAATCTGACAACATAAAGAACAGACCCCCTATAACTGTTTATTAGAATGAGAATATATTCCAAATCAACAACTAAAAAACAAAACAAAACAAAACAAATCAAGTTACAGAGCATGCATAAAATACAAAGTAGCAATTTACAAACAGATAGTAGTATCTTTATAACCAATACACTAAAACAATAAAATGGCTACATAGGAAATGACTGACTACAGCAATGCCTTCCGTGTATCCCACACATCATAAGCACTGCCAAACACAGAAGATTAACTATGAAACATAACCTATGCAAGCCCACACATATATATTTTTTTCAGATATCCCATCATCTTCAAGTTAATCACCACAGTTGACAACTTTCAGAAAACTGCAGAGAAGTGCTTAATATTACCCACACAAGGAAGTAAAACTAAATATTAGTGTGCACAATTCTGAATGAGAAACTAGTTGCTCCAATGATTTCAATAATGTAGTGGAAAAAAAAATTACCTCAGGTCTCTATAAAGCTTAAATGCATTCTATTTAAACTCAAGGTACTATTTCACTTTACATACTAAAAGAATACATGCCTTTAAGTGGTACCACTTGAGCATAAATTAGCCTCTCACTGTATCCTTTAGACATACTAAAACCAAAGACTTAACTGGACTATATTCCATTATACACTGCAAAACTCAAATAAAAGCATTGCTAAAATAATCACCCATGCCTACTGGTGGATATGGTGATAAAACTAGGTTGCATTTCATTTACTGGAAGGTTTTAAACAAAATTACCATCTCAAAATTTGACATTACCAGCATTACACCAGTTATTGCCTGAGCAATAAAATGCCATATAATCTACTGCTGGGAAATGAGATCAGTTAAAATGACTTGGGACCCGGGGATTTAGCTCAGTGGTTCTGGCGCCTGCCTCACAAGAGCAAGGGCCCAAGTTTGATCCCCGGTACCAAACAAAGAAATGACTTGGGCTGCCTGATCATTGTAACAGAGGTACTTCAGAAGGAATTCCACCAGTCTCTCGAGTTCCTAGCCTTCCAGGCAGCACTATTTAACTTATGGCTCTGTAACCATAAGCCAACCCAAACCATAAGTCTTTTGTGTTTATGAGGATAATTCTTGTCCAGAGAAAGTGCCCTCCTTTCTAATCAACTTTGATGCTTGCAAAAATTAAACCAAAATATACTAAACTACACAAACCTATTAAGGCATTTTAAGAATTGACTTCCAGAATAATGGAAAATTTTCACAAAATTCTGCTGTTTATAGGGCAACTCTTACATTTGTCAAAATATACATTGCACTGAGAGAAGAGTGTACTACTTCTAAGCCTCTCTGTGGCAAAATAATAGCTTATTTCTAAGGTCTTCTTTATGTGATTTGATCAAGACCAATGGGTCTGAGCTTCAAGTGATCAAGTTCAACTATGACCTACAGAGACAGGCTTCCAGGATGAAAAGTAAACAATAATTGAGGAATTTGAACATTCAGTTTATTAAACTAAGGCCAGTGAAGCCATAGCATGGAAAAAGAAAAACTGCAGTCATTCGGGACAAAGTTGATGATTTTATAAAGCTAAAATCAAGACTTAAGACATGGAAGAATTCATAAGTATGAAGAAGTAATAAAACACAAAACTGACCACAGGAATTACAAATATATTTAAATTTCAGACCTGGGAAACGTACTATACACAGCCTTCTAGGGGAGAAGAGAAACGCCTTAGATGTTCTGACAGCACTGCACCTTTGGCTTGTTTTCAGTGGTTGGTGGAACATGAATAGGAACCACATTGTTGCTTGGAGACATGTCATTTTCACGTCTGTCTGACATTTGCTTCTGAGAGACAATGCGGTATATCTCTGAAAAAGAGAAACAGAATACTTAGTAAGAGTAAACTCATGAAGAGTTGGTAAAGATCCACTGACAGAAGATACACCCAACAAAGAATACATAAACTTAATAGTGGGACCCTGTCTCATAACAAAATGAAACATTTCCTTTCCATAAAAAAAGCCAAAAGCTTTCCCATTTCAGAAAGATTTGTAGGTCAATTAAACAAATCTTGTCTTAAAGAATAGAACAGTTTGTACACATACATCTGAATTAAATCATCTAAGTAGTTCCACACCTGCTTTTTTTTTGGGTACGAGATCAAACTCTGGACCTTGCGGCGGCAACACTGAGCTAAATCCCTGGCCCAACCCTACTTTTAATCTTTAATAAGTATTTTCAGTCTACCCTTACCACACACACACAAAAAGCCTACATACACTGACATTGCACAAATAAATAAATGTGCACTAACAGATACATCCCCTATTTTTTTAGGCTGTGTGAGGAAGAGCACAACTTCATAAACATGGTAAAATCCCAAAAGACTCTTGTAGAGAAGGATGAATCTATGTGTTTATCAGTGATCTCCTGAACTAAAGTTAAATTGCAATTATTTAAAGGAGGCAACTTAAAATTTTATGTGCACATTCTTTCATGACAATGTAGTCAACTTAACACAAACACTGACCAGAATATACTTGCTTTTGGAGAGGGTGGGGGAACAGGTAAAATTTATACCTGAGAAGGCTGTGAAGAAGACACAAAGGAAAAAAACCTACATTACAACAAAGATAAGCTGTCGAATAAGGTTCTTAAAAACACACACAAAAGATAAAGAGTTTTTATTCAGACTCTTTTGACTGAAAGGGAAGGGATGGGATTGTGACAAAGTTAGAGAAAAGAATTTACCCTTCACTCAGGTTAGTGGTTAAGGAATAAAGATAATCATCACTTTGTGGTTAAACTATACCTTTCATGCCATGTTTTCTCTCTAATGCCAAACTGAATAGATATTCTTATTCAAGGGCAAATGATTAAATCTGACCCCTCTAAGTTTTAACTTCTTTACAGATTGTCTTGAAGATTCAGTTAAGGAAAAGAAAAAAGAAAAAAAAAAAGACAAAAGAAACCTGCTGACTCTTACATAAAAAACGTAAGTCATACTGGAGGAAGCAAAGACAGACTTCTCAAAGAACATAGAGAAGTAAATAATTAAAAGAGATTTCTTTGCAAAGACATTAGAGCATGTTGTGTAACTGCAAGTACTGCATACTTTCAGAAATGGATTACTGCTGCATTTATACTAGCCACCAAAAAGATGACTGCTAATAAAAATGACAACAAGGCAATAAGGAGAAAGGAAAGCAATGGTCACAAAATTAGGAAAAAAAACCTTTTTTTCCAAATATAACTAGCTCTAAGAGGCTCCTGAGTAATTTATTTCTCTTTGGGCTGGGTGTGTCATTTTAAAAAAGAAAAGAACTTTGATAAGAAAATAGGAAGCAGGTCCCTTGTAGCTGGTACAATATCTGATTAGTACTTTAGTGGGGGAAGGACCACAGGACAAGTAACTTGTTAAACCAGAGGCAAGTACTGTATTTCCCTCTTTCAAGGGCATGTTCTCCTTGGAACCAACTGAATGGGATACACTAATCCTGTGCAGCCACCCTTCAAGATGTCTAAAAGTTGGGTAGGATTAGAAAGAAAAGGAATCCTGGTTTTTTTTTGGGGGGGCATGCTGGGGATCAAATTCAGGACTTTGTTTTTGAGGTAGGCACAGCTCCACTGAGCTAAGTATTCTACTACAGCATAGGTAGAAGCTTTTGCTAGATCTCTTCAAGCCCACTGCTCACCATGTAACTTTCTCAAAAGTCAAAAAACATTCTAACTTTACATAGTCATATCTATTTAAAATAAGGTTCCTCCGTGTCAATAAAAAAGCTACTTCTACACTTGATTAAAAGATTCTCACTAAACTGATAGTCAATACTTGAAAACTTCAGCCACCCACCCACCTCTGCCCCTTTTTGTAGTACTGAGGATTGAACCCAGGGCCTGTATGCTGAGAGTTACATCTGCAGCAGGGTCTTGCTAAGTGGCTAAATTGTCCAGCTTGGGTTCAAATTCGCAATCTTCCTGCCTCAGCCTTCCACAATGCTGGGATTACAGGCCTCGCCACAACCCTGGCTCTTTAGCCCCTTCTAAAGAGGCAACATGCTCAGTGAAATAAAATTCTTTCAGCCAAAGAATTAAGAATTTACTCTTCCAACTAAAAATGTATCTTGGACTTATTAATTATACAGAGAAATCTGGCAAATATCATCCTAATCAGACAATCAAAGTTAACAATACCAGTAATAAGTCAATTAACATGAGCATCCTAATAGAAGAACACTTCTATGGCATGCCTGCCAAAAATCTATAATCTGAATTTAATCATGGAGAAATCATCTTATGGAATTACTGTGGAATTCACAGATGTCAAGAATGCTATAGGTCTATTCTAAGACAAACACCACGATTAACTCAAGAATAACAAATTGTCAACACTACATAATTTTGCATTTTAAAAATTAAAAAAGCTGTATTTTTCTTCCAGCAACATTTGAATACCTACTAACTGCTCCCTTAATACTGTTAAAATTTAAGGCAGAACCAAATCTAATGAGATTACTTTTTCCTTTTTTATGCATTAATCCTCCCAGGCTTGCATACAAGAGATAAAAAAGTTTAGAACAAACATCCTAACACTTGCAAATCAACAGAGAATGTTCATTGCTGTATACAGTGGTATGTGATTCCACAGCTCAACAGAGATTTATGGAAGAAACTGAGGAAATAGCAAATATAAACAGGGAGAATGGCCTAGAATTATAGCAGCGTTGATGCGACATATGAAATATCCCAACAGACTGTTAAAGTGTTTAACTCACCTTTCAAAACACTATGATGCCAGGTGTGGTGATGCACACCTGTATTCCTAGCATTGGGAGGCTGAGGCAGGATGATCACTGTGAATTTGAGGCCAGCCTCATCTACATACTGAGTTCAAGCCCAGCCCCACTACGAACCCTAGGACCAGGAAGGTTCAGTGACTTGAGTTACACAGGTCTGTGTATAAAACTCCAGCACTCATTGGTCTCAATCTAGTACTCTACACACTGACTCAACAGAATTCATGCAAGCAGTTATAAAAAGAGGACTTGCACACATACTTCATATTTAATAAAATTTTACTAACTTGAAACAATCTGTAATGAAACTTGGCAGAAATATTTTAAAGTACTTTCTTCAAAAATTGTTTATCTGACCCAGAACTAGTTCTTATGGTTACTGTTCTTCTGATAACAGAAAATGCAAATAATGATATGTAATTCGCCAGTAATTTTTTTTTTTTTGGTACTGGGGATCAAACTCGGGTCCTTGTGCTTACAAGGCAGGCAGGCGGCGCGGAACCACTGAGCTAAATCCCTGGCCCACCAGTAATTTTTTTTAACAATTATTTTTTCATGTCTTAATTACTAATTAGGTACTAATTTATCACTATTACTAGGGATAGCTAAGGTTTTTTTTTTCTTTTGTTTTTTGAGAGAGGATCACCCTATGTAGTTCAAGCTGGGCAGCCTTGAATTTGCAGCAAACCTCTGATTCTCCCACCTCAGCCTCCAGAGTGTTGGGATTAGAGGCGTGCATCATCACACCCAGCTAAATCAGTATGAACACTAACTCATACTGATTTTTGGAATCCACAGCATATGTATCAGTGACATACCACTTTGGTATGGGTTAAGAGTGACAAAACTTTTAACTAGAGTACAACAGTCAAATCATATCACAAGATTTAAAAAATACAAGCTCTCAGGAAAAAAAATACAAGCCCTCTATCAAAAAGGAATTAAGTCCCAAAACATATTTGAACTTTACATATGAACACATTAAGGCCTATCTGCACATGATTACGTGCTTGTAATCCCAGGACTCTGAGGGGCTAAGGTAGGAGTATCACAATCTCAAGTGAAGCTAAACAAATTAACAAGATCCTTGTCTCAAAAAAGGAAGGGAAGTGTGTCTGGGGAAGCAGCTCAGTGCAAAGGCCCTGGGTTCAATCCGGAGTACTGAAAAAAAAAAAGAAAGAAATAAAAAGAAAAACCCTTAAGGATTAAAATGACTAAATAACTTGCCTATTATAAAGCTAAGTGGAGGATTCAGAAGTAGAACCCAACTCAGGCTTCCAAGTCCATATTCTTAATTCTTAGGCTTTGTTCCTTTCATTTTGACAGAAAAATAAAAAATAAACAGTAAATATGAGTCAGCACAAAAAAGTGTCTTCTTATCCAGGAAGTTGACCTGGTTATCTACATTCCCAAAGAGCATGAACTTTGTCCCGTTCCCACTACTCGTTTAAACTAGGTGCAATCACTGGCTGATTTTATCTACAGGTGACACCTTGTTTATTCTATGATATATAGAGAATTTTACTTTTTTCACGATTTTTAAAAATATATTTCCCCCTAGCTTCTTCCTATTCTAATTCCAAAAGGGCACTTACATCTTTGTATAGCTGGGATCTCAATATGTATCTTATCAAAACATTTTAAATAAAGAAAGTATATTTAAACATAACTTAGCGGTGTGACTATGAAGTATAGAATACATGGTCTGAACACACAGAAGTTAAAAAATTACTTCCAACAGTTTTTTCCCACTATAAACCAGATGAATGAAGATAACTGAAGCTCAGTGAACAAGGGTTAAAACTAATTTTGCCCTCTACACTGCTCTTGCTGTGGTAGTTCTCATATGGTGTAATATATAATTTTGTTTCCTGATTCATTTGTTTAAATTATCTACCTAAAACTTCCAATTCCTACTGGTATAACCCAAAATGTAAGTATTACCTGTTAGAATTGTCTGGAAAGCAGCTTCTACATTTGTTGAGTCTAAAGCAGATGTCTCGATGAATGACAAACCATTCTTTTCTGTAGGAAGACACAAAAACTTCAGTCTTCTCAGGTTTTGTTGTTTTGTGGTGGTGGGGACTGAACCCAGGGCCTTATTAACACTAACCCCCATCCCCACCCAAGGTCCATTCTAGCAAGAAGTCAAAAATCTTTTTTTTCCCCTGATGGTGCTAGGGATCTAATCCAGGCTCTTGCATAGTTGAAGCAGTTTTACCAGTGAGCTGCATCACCAGCCCCTGGCAAGTGTTAATACAAGGGATGGGGTACCAAATCCTTAAAAGGGACAAATGACAAAATTATTTTTAAAAACCCAAGACCCCCAAAATTTCTGGGTCAGAAATGGTATTATTCTATTTACTATTTAGGAAATTAAAAGTAACAGAAATTTTCATAGGCTCAATTAAAATACTCATTTCTAAATACTCTCACTAGCAATAAATGATCCTACTCAAAATGTAGTAAACTTTTTTCCTAAATGTGTAGTAAACTTTTTAAGTACTCACCTATTTCTGTTCTTCATTTTGCTCCCTAAAAACTATATACCATGATATTCACTTATAATTCTGCAACTATTTGAAATAATGCTGTCTCCTGGAAAGGCAATGGAGGCACAGCCTATATAGTGCCTGCTACTTGGGAGACTGAGGCAGGAGCATTCTAAATTCAAGGCCAGCCTTGGCCAACGTAACAAGACATTGCCTCAAAATAAATTTTAAAAAGGGCTGGGGGTATAGCTCAGTGGTACAGTGCTTGCCTAGTATGCAGGAGACCCTGGGTTCAACCCTCAGTATAGCCAAAAAAAGTGTTTCTTGCCTGAGATACCAAGCACGTTATTGAAAAAGCATTCATAAAATAACCACTAGTAGTATCAGGTCATGACTTTATTGGGCAAGAATACACAATGCTGCTTTTCAGTAGTTGTTATAACAAAACATAACACCCCTTCCAGAATGGTGGCATGCAAGAGGGAGAGTTTCTACAAAGCCAAAAAAGTTAAAGTTTCTAAGGAGCTGCATCCCTGTTGGTCCCTGGCACTATCTGGGATGTTGCTTTCCAGACCCACAAAGAGCATGGTAAAGTAGAGATGCAAGTGAAGAAGGGAGGGGAAGCACAGAATAAAATGATATTTCAGGGCCAGGGATTTAGCTCAGTGGCACTGTGCCTACCTCGAAAAGCACAAGGTCCTAAGTTCGATCTCTGGTGTGGGGGGTGGGGGGGGGAATACATTTCATCTACCCCTTAAAAGGAATAAAAAAAGAGGACACTGCTTGTATTCAATTACTGACAGCAAAAACTCAAAATACTAGTGTTTTGGTTTTTTTTGGTACCGGGGATTGAACTCAGGTCTTTGCGCTTGCAAGGCAGGCCACCAAATTGCTGAGCTAAATCCCCAGCTCCCTTATATTGGTCTATCTCAGAAGCCAGATCCGTAAATGTTATCTCTGCAACATGAATTCAGGTTCGGGATAGGAAAATACTAGTGTTTTAAGAACATGAAGTTAAGCAAAACAACTATATACAATCTTTCAAAACAATTCTTCCTGAGTATTATATGTACCTTTCTAAAACTTTTACAAACTATCCCCCTCAATGGAAGAGTATTAAAACAAAGACAGAATCACTATAAAATCGTGGAATTCATGTTACTAACCTGCAAAAGCTCTGGCTTCATCGGTAGGAACTGCCCTGAGATGACGTAAATCACTCTTATTGCCGACAAGCATGATAACAATGTTACTATCAGCATGATCTCTCAGTTCTTTCAGCCATCGCTCTACATTTTCATACGTGAGATGTTTAGCAATGTCATAAACCAGTAAGGCACCTACAGCTCCACGATAGTACCTGCAAAAAGCAGCACAGATTTAACTCAGTAAACAACCACAACATAGAAGTGAACACCAGATCTCAAGATGTGGACTATGAATTTTTTGTTTTTTGTTTTGTTTTTGGTACCAGGGATTGAACTCAGGTCCTTGCACTTGTGAGGCAGGTGGCAGAACCACTGAGCTAAATCCCCGCCAGAGTATGAATTTTTTAAAGCACTTTATAAATTTCTAAGAATTCCTAATACTGAGATTCTAAAAAAAAAAAAAAAAAAA